GGCCGGAGAAGAAGCCGCCTGTGCGGAGAGGCCGAGGCCCAGGCGCCCGCAGCCCGACCGCGGGGCCAGGGGTGCTCCAGACGGCTGCGCCCACGGAAGTTAGTGACTCCCGAGCCCAAGTTTCTACCCGTGCGACCGGGGCCGCGTTTCCCCAGCCTGACCACAAAGGCAGCTGCCCGAGCGGCCGCGCCTGGGTACCTGCCGAGCTGCCTGTGCGGTGCTAGTGCGTGCTCCCCGGCTTCAAAGCGTCCGTTTGCTTCCGCGGTGGAGCCCCCTCAGTCAGGAGCATCGCTTCCCCGGTTCAGAAAGGTTCCTACCTCCCTCCGGGCCTCAAGACGAGGCCACGCGTCCTCTGGACCATAGACTGGAGTTGAAATGGCCGGGTGCGTGGGGCATCCTGAGTTCGACGTCCTGAAGTGCTTGGGCACTTTTAATGTCCTCTCACGCTTGGAAATGACCCCGTTTTCTGGAGATTTTTCAGTTTAGTTTTGCTCTCACTGATGATGCTCTCGTGGATTTAAAGGTTATAGAATTGCTTACAAACATGCGTTTTCTTACAGAAATCCAAAATGTTCCATTTTACTGGAAACTTTCCATTTATACATCCCTAAGGCATTTGTGAAACATGAGACTAGCTTCGTTTACTGGGGCGTTTTGACAACTCAGAACTGTTTTGTTGTCCTAGCACAGAATGTTCTGGTAGCCTTTTGTTTGCACTTCAAAGATTATAAGACTGAGAACATTAATTCAAGAGACAGGAGAGATGTAGGAGATCCGATGAAATCTCTAATTTGTAGGGGACAGGTTGAAGCTGCTTAAATTACGAGCAGAACTTGGCTCATTTGACACTTGGTTCAGTACTTAATAACTGGATTTTTTTTTTTCCTTTTTTTTTTTGGGTTTTTCGAGACAGGGTTTCTCTGTGTAGCTTTGCGCCTTCCCTGGGACTCACTTGGTAGCCCAGGCTGGCCTCGAACTCACAGAGATCCGCCTGGCTCTGCCTCCCGAGTGCTGGGATTAAAGGCGTGCACCACCACCGCCCGGCTTAACAGCACTTTTAAACCACAGATGTCCTATCCATTTCCGACACATGCACATCTTCTCCATTATCAGCATCCCCCACCGAGAAGGTACATTCGTTCCAGTGAACTTGTGGTTTATATTTCAGGAATCACACCATACTGTGCATTTTGTGCCTTTGGACAAATTAGTAATGATGTGCATCCACCATTATGATGCATTATCACTGAAAGTCTCTGCTTCAGTCACTCCAGTCGCTTCAATTCCTGCAGTCACCGCTTTCTTTACTGGCTCCGTAGTTTTGCCAGGACTTGATTTTGAATGTCTGTCTCCGAAAATACTAGCTGTTCTGTTATTCTTGTTCAGAGATGGTCTCAGAGGCAGTCCAGTTCCTTTTCTTACACTGATGATATTGTCATGGTGTTAAAGATTATAGGATTTCAGAATTTAAAAAAAAAACAACCCAAACCTTTAGGGGACTGGAGAGAAGCCTCAAGGGTAAGAGCACATGTTGCTGCTCTTTTCTCCTCTCTCTTTCATAATTATGTTTGTTTGTTCTGACACGGGATCTCCCTGTGTGTCCCTGACTGACCAGGTTGGCCTGTGCCCACCTCTGCCTCTGGAGTATTGGGACTAAAAGCACGAGCCACCAGGCCTGGCACATGCTGCTCTTGCAGAGGACTGAAGTTCCATTCCCAGCACCCACATCAGGCCATCCATAGCCCTCTGTGACCCGGGCTCCAGAGGATCCAGTGCCGCCTTCTGACATCTGTGAGAACATGTGTACACACACACACACACACACACACACACACACACGCACGCACGCACGCACGCACGCACGCACAGGCACACAAACACAAATTTAAAAACATTAAATCTTGTTGAACAGTTGTTTTGTTGTTTATCCATATCTATTTATTTTGTGTGTATGCGTGCACACCTGCCACAGTAAGCTTGTGAAAGGCCAGAAAACAACTAGCCAGGATTTCTCTTCCTCTGTTGTGTAGATTCCTGGGATCAAACTCAGGTCATCAGGCTTAGGTATAAAATATCTCCTCCTAAACGATGGGTTTTATTTATTTATTTTTGTGTGTGTGGTGTGTGTGTGTTTGTTTGTTTGTTTATTTATTTGTTTTGGAAGCTGTAGTTAACAACCTTTGAGTCTACTTTGAAGTACTCACCTTGACGGAGTCATGTCTTCAGCCCTTCTTGGAGAAGCTTTGGGTTCACAGAAGAGTTGACTAGAAGTGAGAGAGATCCTCTGAGTGTGTGTGTGTGTGTGTGTGTGTGTGTGTGTGTGTGTGTGTGTGTGTACTCCTACTCATGGATAGCCTGAATGAACATTTTAGTTCTTGGCATCTGTAAAGGACTATGGCATTCACGGTGCCTTTATGCCTGTTTTCTGGAAGCCTGCTTCATATTCTTTTTGGTAATCTGTGTCCTCTAAAGTGAGTAGATGAATCCTCTAGGTAAAGACGGTCAAAGCAACAAATCAGATTCTGCTCGTGCCTCTCACAGTTGTCCTACGTTGCTCTTTTGGTTCCTTCTCACGTGTGCATCCCCTTGAGCCTAGCTTGCTGTTCTGAGTTACAATAACAAATCATTTTCCTTTACTTGAACTCTTGTAGCCACAGACAGTTATAGTCATGTATACTTTTTTTTGTAATTTTGATTACATTTTAATTTTTCACATGTCTATATGTGTGGGTGCCAGGAGACAACTTTCCAGAGTCAGTAGTTAGTCCCAGGGATCGAACTTGTGCCCTCAGGCTTGGAGGCACATGTCTTACTCACTGAGCCATCCCCCCAGCCAGTGGCACAGTCTTTAAAATGATCAAGCTGGGTGACAGGGATGGCTCACTGGTTAAGAGCACTGGCTATTACTCCAGAAGATCCAGGGTTGCTCTCCAGTCCAGGACATTTTAAGCCCTTTTCTGACCTCCATGGGAACCAGGCACCAGAGGCCAAAAAAGGGTGTAGGATGCCCTGGAATGGGCATTACAGACAATTGAGAGCTGCATAAGGTTTTGGGAACTGATCCCAGGTCCTCTGCAAGAGCAGCTGCTCTTACCTGCTAAGTATCTTTCCCACCCTTAGTATTTCTTTTATTTTATGTGCATTGGTGTTTTTTGCCTGCATGTGTGTCTGTATGACGGTGTTAAATCTTGGAGTTACAGGCAGTGGTTAGCTGCCATGTGGGTTGTAGGAATTGAACCTGGGTCATCTGGAAGAACAGTCAGTGCTCTTAACCACTGAGCCATTAACCATATAAAATGGTGAAGGGGGTGAGCTGGAGAGATAGCTCAGCAGATAAAAGCACATACTACTCTTGAAGAGGACCAGAATTTGGTTCCCAGGATCCACATTAGGTGGTTCACAACCATCTCGATAACTTACAGCTCCAAGATGTCCATTACCCTCTTCTGACCTCTACAGTCACACAGACACATACACACAATCAAAAAATAAGAATAATTTACAAAAATAAAATAGTTGAGGGGAATGTCTTCTCATCTTGGTGCACATGCATTCATTTGTTAGTTTTTGGTATTGATTAAAATGCTTTTTTTTTTCCAACTGCTTTTGCTTTTCACTTTAGAACCTTGGACATCTTTCCAAATCACAAACTATAGATCTACTTCGTTTTTTTAGTAACTACATAATATTTCATTTAGGGGACATACTTGCAGTATATTTTATGAATCCTGATTTGATAATGGCCTAGGTGTTTTCAGTTTTTACTGTTGTAATTTAGTTGGGATGGTCCTTTTATGTAGTTGCATTCTTTAGAAATAATTTTTACAATTTTTTTTTTTTTTTTTTTTTTTGGTTTTTCGAGACAGGGTTTCTCTGTGTAGCTTTGCGCCTTTCCTGGAACTTGCTTTGGAGACCAGGCTGGCCTCAAACTCCCAGAGATCCACCTGCCTCTGCCTCCCAAGTGCTGGGATTAAAGGCGTGCGCCACCACCGCCCAGCTAATTTTTACAATTATAAACTTAAAATGTTTTACCATTAGGGACTACTAAAAAGCCAGCAGTTAAAAGTATTTAGTGCTCTTGTGGAGAACCTGGGTTTGGTCCCCAGCACCCAGAATCTGGAAGTCTGTCACATCTGTTAGAAAGGTAGAAATGGTCATTTTTTTACAGGTTTTGATAAAGTGCAGCAAATACAGTGCTTTCTTTGTTTCTTTCAAGTATTAAGAAGAGGAGGGCCTTAAAATCAACTGAGAGTAATTATCTTTAACCTAAGTTCCTATCGTTTATAGAGTAAACATTTACCAACTTGAATTAAACTTGGGAAAACTGAATATGAGGAGCAGGAGTTGAGACTGGGCCAGGCATGGTGGTGCATGGTTCTGATCACAAGCTGAGGCAAGGGGGTTGAGAGTTCAGGACAGACTACAGCTACTTCAGGAGATCCTGTCTGAAAACAAAACAGATTTTAATCTAGAGCAGATTTTAGCAAATCACCATCTCTACCAGAAACCATCACTAAACAAAGAAACGTTTGCTTTATTTTGTCTCAGTGTTTTTGAGCTGAAGTGTGTGTTTATCTTACTATAGTAACTATAAAATACATTTATATATATTTATATGCATACGGTATGTATGTAGGCTGTAGCTCAGTTGATGGTGAGTTGATGATGCTTGCTTGCCTAGTGTGCACAAAGCCTTGAGTGTGATCCCCAGCACATGTAAAATCAGAACGTGGAGACAGGAGGATCAGATTTTAAGTCATCTCCCTGCCCTCAGAGTACGTTTTATTTTTGTATAAACATATACTCTCACATATTTCCTTCAGCTGCTTCTGTTGAGCATTTCAGTTGGTGTGAAAGCAGAACAGTGGAGACTGGTGTGTTGTTTCATGTATCATAAAACTTAACACCTTTTTTCTTTTTCTTTTGAGACAAGGTCTCATTGTGTTGCCCTGGCTGGCCTGGAATTTACTATTGTAGACCAGACTGGCCTTGAACTCACAGAGATCCTCCTGCCTCTTCTTCCTGAGTGCGTGGATGAAAGGGGTGCCCCACCATGCCCAGCAACCTTGGCCGTTTTAAAGTGTGGTTCGGTGTCATTGGCTGCATTCACGGTGCTCTGCAACTATGTGTACTTGCAGAACTTTCAGAATCCCAAGTGAGCTGTGCACAACGAAATGGTAACTCCCAAGCTTCTCTCCCCTGCTGAGCCCACTTCTGTCTTCTGTCTCTGGATTTGCTTCTTACGGATATCTCCTGGAAGTGGAACTACGACACTGTCCAGTTGTGTTTCTCTTACCTCACTTAGCATAGCTGTTTTCAAGACCCATCCAGATACAGTATTAGAATTCAGCTTTTGAAAATTGAGTGGGGCGTGTGTTGTGTTTAATTATCTAGTCGTCCATGGGTGGACATTTGTTTTGTTCTGCCCATTGACTGTCATGATTACTGACTGCTACTGTGAACACTGGTGTCCTCTAGAGTCTGTGTTGCATTTGTTTGGGTGTCTGTAGTCCCTAGATGTGGAATTGGAGGTTCATGTGGTGATCCTACGTGGAACTTCTTGAGGAGCACTTAATTATTGTCTGCAACAGCTATTCCATTTTATACTCCCACCAACAACAGTGCACGAAGGGTCCCACTTTCTTCCATTTGTAACAATCCTTGTGATTTTCTGGTTCTTTGCTAATAGCCTTCCTAGTAATATTGAGATTCTTCCTTGTGTTTATTGGCCATTGACGGTGTGTCTTTGGAGACATATCTATTTTAAGTCCTTTGCTCAGTTTTAAATTAGATGATCAGGTGTTTTGTTGTCTTTTTATACCCTGGGCATTACTCTCTTATTCAGGATGTGGTTTGCCGATGGTTTCCCATTCTGCAAATTGTCGTTTCATTATTTGCAGCACATTTATTTCTTCCACATTTTAAATTCTTTTGGGAGAGTGGAGAAATGGTTCAGTGGTTAAGAGCACTGGCTACTCCTCTGGAGGGCCTGGGTTTGAGTCCAACACCCACATGGTAGCTCACAGCCATCTGTAACTCCATTCCCAGACACTCCAATGCACTTTCTGACCTCCACAGGTACTGTGTGTGCACAGTGCACAGATAGACATGCAGGCAAAATCCCATGCACATAAGATACATTTTTAAGGTTATTTTGGGCTTTGTTTTTGTTTTTGTGTTTTTGTTTTTTTTTTTTTTGGTTGGTTGGTTTTTGTTTTTTGTTTTTTCGAGACAGGGTTTCTCTGTGTAGCTTTGCGCCTCTCCTGGAACTCACTTGGTAGCCCAGGCTGGGCTCGAACTCACAGAGATCCACCTGGCTCTGCCTCCCAAGTGCTGGGATTAAAGGTGTGCGCCACCACCGCCCGGCTTGGGCTTTGTTTTTGTTTTGAAATAAAGCATCATGTAGCTACTCCTGACCTTCCTGACTCTAGCTCCTAAGTGCTAGAATCGTAGGTGTGTGCCCCTGTGACTGGCCACCATTTTATGAAGTCCTCGTTTTTTGTTGTGGATTGTAACTTAATTTTTGATGTTAATTTGAGAATAAAATTACCATCAGTATGGACTAGGAGATTTAGCACTAAGGCAGAGTTAGATCATTTTTGTTTCTTTGGAAGTAGGTTTTTTAATTTGCTAGTAGCATAGTGTGATCACCTTCACTGGGCTTCTGGGTTTCAGGAAAAGTTACCCTAAAGGTGAGAGGCATCATTATTTTTCAAATCTCTGCTAAAGCAACAGCAGCATGTGTTATATGGAGTAACTACTTATCTCACAAGCATTCAAGGCTGTGTAGAAGAATAAACTGATTTTGTAATAAGAGGTTGATTAGTCAGCTTGTTCATGTTTAGTTGGATATAGTATTCATTTATACTAATACTACTAGATAGAAGTGACTTTCCTTACTGGTTATTTTAATAAAATTAATTTGTGTTCTTTCCTCAAGGCCTACATGAATCCAATAGCGATGGCTCGATCGAGGGGTCCAGTCCAGTCTTCAGGGCCAACAATCCAGGACTATCTGAATCGACCGAGGCCTACCTGGTATTTCTGTTTACCTGTTTATAAAGTGTATTCTTCCTGCCTTTAGTGATCGTTGAGCAGTCCCCAGATGACAGGTGGTTTTACTTATTTTTGAGAACTTCATACAGGAGTGTTGTATTGATATCATTTCCACTCCCTCTTCTCCCTCCTACTCTTCCTGTGTTCCGTTCCTGCTCCCCTCAGGTTCATGACTTCTTTAATATTGTTGCACATGCATGCACCCTATTGAATTGAATTCATCTTGTGTCTAAGGCTGACCAGTTGGGTTTGGATGGCCTGTCAGGGAATTCATACCTGAAGAAAACTGATTCATACTCATGCTCTCTCTCTCCGCCCCTACCCACCCACCTACCCCCAGCATTCCTGTAACATCTTCAAGTTGGCTTGTCATCTGGTGGTGTCATTATGCAGATCTTATTTAGGCAGCCATATTGTTGCAATTTCATGGGTGCATTTCCCCTGCCTTGTCTAAAAGACACTATCTCTCAGTGGGCATCTTGGTCCTAGGCTCTTAAAATCTTTCTGCCACCTTTTCTATAATTTTCCCTGAGCCTTACATGTAGAGGTTGCATTGTAGATGTCCCAATTTGGGGTGAGCATCCATGTTTCCATCTGTTAAAAAGAAGCTTCTCTGTTGAGGGATGAGACCTGCCCTCATCTGGACATGAGGATAAGTATTTAGAATGTGTTAGAAGTTTTATCTAATTGGAAAATGGCAGTAGTAGGTTCTCCTCCAGGGTCTGTGGTCTTACTGGCCCCAAGCAGTTGGCTAAATTTGCAGTTTTAGCTGTAAATTCCCTCCTCCATGGGCCTTAGGTCCAGTTAACTGGTGGCTACCTCCAAGCTAAAGGTGTCACTCTTGCACCAGGAGGGATATGCTGTGCTCGTCTTTGTGGTTCGCAGGCTTTACCACTGGTGTCTCTCCCTTGGCAGCCTGGATAGCACCTTCAGACACTTCCAGAGCTGTCCTCAGAAAAGAGGCTCCACATCAGTCCAGCTTGACTCCTCCAAGTCCCTTGTCCAAAGTGTATAATCAGTCTACAGCAGTAGGCTCTTATCTTCAAATTCTGGGAGGCTACCAAAGGTAGTGGCCATAGCCTATATTGTTTTGGAATCTCTGACCCCCTGACCAACAACTCAGAGAAGTTTCCCATGCTTGGCACTGGGTATTTATTGTTATAATCTATGGCTTCTTCGGGTAGCATTATCATCCTGGAGACAACTCCCTTTTTTAATTATGTTGTGTGTTTACTTGATTGTAGCTGAAGTTTTGCTGTGTCCACCTGGCTCCTGCAGCTGCTCAGACCCAAATAAATACACAGAGGCTTGTATTATTTATAAACTGTATGGCCATGGCAGGGTTCTTGCTATCTAGTTCTTATATCTTAAATTGACCCATTTCTATTAATCTATAAGTTGCCACGTGGCTTGTGGCTCACCAGTACTTTTACATCTTGCTTCTCATGGCGGCAGCTGGCAGTGTCTCCTGACTCAGCCTTCCTTTTCCCAGAATTCTCTCTGCTTATCCCTCCTATACCAAACTTCCTGCCTGGCTACTGGCCAGTTAGCGTTTTACTTATCAATCAGAGCAACATATTCACAGCATACAGAAAGACATCCCCAGCACTTGATTCTTTGTTTTAGATTTCTTGGTATATCTGGGTATTGGTCCTCTATCAAAAATTCAACTAGCAGTTCTCTGTCAGCTTCCTCTTCAGTGTTTTTTCTGCTATGCAGCAACTTCAGTTTAAATGAGGTCACAGTTGTCACTTGTCCTTAATTCCTGGTCAAGTTGAGTCCTGCTCAGAAAGTCCCTTCCTGGCCCTGTATCTTATAGGGCACAGCCTGTGTTTTCTTCTAGCAGTTTTAGCCTTTCTGCCTCCCTTTGAGGTCTTTGATCCATCTAGAGTTGATTGTTGTGGTTGTTGTTGTTTTTGGTTTTTCGAGACAGGGTTTCTTTGTGTAGCTTTGGAGCCTGTCCTGGAACTCACTCTGTAGACCAGGCTGGCCTCAAACTCACAGAGATCCACCTGCCTCTGCCTCCCAAGTGCTGGGATTAAAGGCGTGCACCACTACCACCTGGCTAGATTTGATTTTTGTTCAGGATAATATATGTGGGTCTAATTTCATTCTTCTACATGTGGACATCTAGAATAATGAGTGATTTTTAAAGTAACATTTAACAGGGGTTTTTGTTTTGAATATATGATTCACACGCATGAACAAAATAGACATTTGAGAACCTGGCATGGCTAAAACACTTGGAAGAAGACTTCTGTCACTCTCTTCTGCAGCCTCTAAAGTGTCTCACTTAACCTTGCAGTTATGTGCTGTTTAAAATGATGGTGCCTTCATTGAGGTTCACGGAGAAGTTAGAGAGGAGGAGTAGGAATACTGTATGGTGCCGGTCCAAGTGTAGCAGCTGATCCAGGCGAGTCAGAAAAACCAGAGGAGTGGCTCTCATCTTTTGTAAATACACAGTCACAGTTTCAGGCACTGTTATTTAATATTTCATCCTTTTTGTTTCTACTACAGTCCTGAAGTAACAAATCACCAGCTGCAGAATACCTTTAGATCCAGGCAGCTGTGGTTGATGCTTACCGTATGTTATAGGGAATCCTTTCAGCTCAAATGTCCATCTCTTCCAGTGTGCTTAATTATTGTTCTTAACCACTGCAGCATACCAGAAAAGTTCCCCCCCCCCAAAAAAAAAAAAAACCTTTAACATGCTAAGAGGAGATGGAATTTAAAGAGGACATGCTCAAGAACACATTTTAATGCCCGTGAGTCAGAAGCCTTTAGAACAACCCACAGATTGGGTAATTCATAAGAGCACTTAGAGGAGTCCTGGCAGATAATCCCACTCTTAACAAGATGAATGACAACAGAAGGATGTCAGGTCCTGTTGAAAAGGGGAACTGTGGAAAGTCAGACGCAGGCTTGCAAGGGGTCTTGCTAACAGAATCATACAAGGCACACTTATTCCTCTAGCAAGGAATTAGGACAGCATGTGGGATGTTGCCAGCCCAGAAGGCTCATTAGGTGTTTGGTGCCGAGGATTTTTATTGCTGGTTAGTCAGCCTCTGCCGTCACATTCTCAAATTCCGCATTCCCGGAAATAAAGCAGGTACTCGCCCTAAACTGTACTGTGTCTTCCCACTTACAGAGTTTATACAGTACACTATTCTTTTGTCTTTTTTAATTGTTTACTTTATTTGCATTGGTGCTTTGCCTCCGTGTATGTCTATATGAGGGTGTCAGACCTTGGAGTTCAGACAGTTGTTAGCTGCCGTGTAAGTGCTGGGAATTGAACTTGGGTCCTCTGGAAGAGCAGTCAGTGCTCTTTACCCCTGAGCCATTTCTCCAGCCCCAGGGATATGCTACTCTTAATGAGGGATGGTAAGACATCCAAAATCCAGCTCCAAGATGCCCACCGTAGGCCAGTGGTCCAAGAAGGTAGGCTGTATGAAGCCTTTGGCAGGCAGGTCGAGTATTTGATGTCACAGGCCTTACTATGGAATGTAGCATTGAGTAAGATAGACTTACTTGGCTCATCTTAACATTGACAGCTTGTGGTCTGAGGCAGATGTCTTACTTTCCCTGAACTTGAGTAAGGCAGTAAGGTACCTATTACTGGGTTGTTGTGAGATTTAATCAAAATAATAATTAAGCATTCTGGGTTTGGAAGAGGAATGATATCACTTGATGGGCTCTATTATGATTATTTACATGGTTGTAAACAAAGAAATTTGAACTATCAATATGACAAGGGTCTTAGAATATTAAAATGTTATTTACAAAAAATTTCATCTTGTTTCTGTCCATCCACTTAAATTGAAATGCTGGGAAATTGTATTTGTCTTTCTGTTTTTAAGGGAGGAAGTAAAGGAACAGCTGGAAAAGAAAAAGAAGGGTTCCAAAGCTTTGGCTGAATTTGAAGAAAAAATGAATGAGGTTTGTAAATAGCATTTTCTAAGAACTAGACAGATCTTTTCCTTACAATAAGAAGGAAATCTCTTTTAGTTGTTTCACTTTAATAAACCAAGGATTTGAGCATTGCACTTTAGGCATTAAGGGGATTCTAGATTTTTATGAATTTTACTGTTACATTGAAAGGCAGGTTTGTGAGTCAATTAATGCTTTCTATAAAAATAAGGACTCAGTAAAGGCACTTGCCTCAGAAGCCTGATGATCTGAGTTTGATCCTCAGAACCCACATGAACATGGAAGGAGAGGACCAACCCCACAGAGTTGTCCTCTGACTTCTCGTGGTAATCATAGTCAGACTTCTTGTTTGTTTTTTTTGAGACAGGGTTTCATTAAAATTTTTTTTGAACCCAGCCATGGTGGCACATACCTTTAATCTCAGCACTCGGAAGCTAGAGGGAGGTGGATCTCTGAGTTCAAGGACAGCCAGGGCTACACAGAGAAAGTCTGTCTTGGAAAAGCCACATCTTACACAGATGTATATACAAATGAAAATAAATACATCTTTTTGTTTAAAAAAAGAAAGCTGAGATAGGTGAGTGGTAATTAAAAAAAACTAGGAAAGAAAAGGGAACAGTAGCTTCTAATGATGTCTTCACCTTTTTGCAGAATTGGAAAAAAGAACTAGAAAAACACAGAGAGAAATTACTAAGTGGAAATGAGAGCTCATCCAAAAAAAGACAGGTAACACCTGTTTTTGTTTATTGCCATTCTTTGGATTTCATAATGGTGTGTTAATAATACATTTGAATCTCACCCATTTATTCAGGCTTGTGTTTATTTCTATTTAGAGAAAGAAAAAAGAAAAGAAGAAATCTGGTAGGGTGAGCAAAAGTTTCCTTTTTTCTAAATGTTACAATTAAGAGCTAAAAAAAACCAAAAAAAGTAAGAATGATTGATTTTTTTTTATTTATTTTTTTAATAAATATGTATTAAAGGTATGCTAAAGGTAACTTAGACTGTAGATGAGTCTAGTCCGGGAGTCCTTTGGTTGTGGGGGGTGATGTTCTCTTAATGACATGAAGGAGATGTCAACTCCTTCATAACCTAGTGATTTTTCTGTTGCTGCTAAGGAGGATAATTGTCGATCATTGCTGCATAAGTTATCACTTTGTTGAACTTCTGGGAGACAGAGATGACTTTTTTGTTAGACACTAGATTGATTTCACTAAGTTCTTGAGAGAATTAATAAACCAATTCCTGCATCTCACAAGCTTTAATTGTTTTGTGCTTGGTCAAGTATTCATCTTCTTCCTCATCGAGCTCTGATTCTTCCAGCAGTTCTTCAGATTCTGAAGATGAGGTAAGATTGGCTGTGGTGGTTCATGAAGTAATTGCTGTCTACTTGAACTGAATGTCAAGGGACTCCTGTGGTGAAATTGCTGCTAGGCGTGTTGACTTTCTGATTTTAATTCAATGTTCATAGCCTAAAGTACCCATATATGAATACATGAAATGATGAGATGTTTAGATATTAGTATTTGTTTTTTTAAGTTTGCCTAGTCCATTTAAAATAGAATTTATTTTTTGAAAAATCTAAATGCATTTGACTCATTGGTTAGAATTACAAACATAATTCAGATCATTTGACTCTTCTATAAATAGAAAAATGGTATGTTACATTGTTACAGTCTAAACATTCATTGAGGAAAATAAGTTGGTCCTTTCATTAAGTTCTGGCCATTACTACATTTGTGGTATTAGTTAAACGGATAAATTATATTCTGAAACAGAAAGCAAATGTTTCTAAATGTTTCGTAGGATAAAAAACAAACAAAGAAGAGGAAGAAAAAGAAGAGTCGTTGCCATAAGTCTCCCGAGAGCTCAGTGTCGGACTCCGACTCGGACAGCAAGGTGAGACCCCAGCACTGAGTTGCCAAGAGCAAAAGCATTCCATGGTTCTGTCCATCCTTCCTGTCTGACATCCCTGCGGTCAGAAGGAATATGTACGACTTTTGTACTCTTGAGGTTCTTTCTGCACCAGTTGACTGGGGTATGTAATATTGCACATGTAGCATGTATTTGTTCCCTGAGTACTTTCATATACATGTTTCTGGGCCTCCAAATCTCCATGATATTGTTCCTTCCGTTTTCAAAAAAATATTTGTAATTCAGGGGCAAAAAGGAGGTGAGAGTCGAGCTGATTATTCTTTTAGTAGCTAGCCTGGTGTGCTTTCTATTTTACCGAAATTTGTTCTGTACTAATTAGAAATGTCAAGAACAAAAGTGTGAAGTATTTTATAAAAATGTTGATTGCAGCAGCCAGGACTGTACGCAGTGGTAGACACTATGAAGTACTGGTACCTACTTATTTCGATTGATTTGTTCCCATTGGAGAAATGTGGTAGAGAGCTTGCTTGGTATTATGGGAGAGACTCTGGGTTCAGTCTTCAGTATCAGAAAAGAAAGAATTGATTCCTAGGTCCCATTTCCAGAGTCTGATTAGGATCAGAAATAGTCTATATTTTTGACAAACGCCCTACATGGTTCTGATAAAGGGCACCCAAGGAACACAGGGGCCTCAGGAAACTAAAGCTCCTGTTCAGGTTTCTAAAAGATCTTCACTTGCCCTGGGAAGATTTCTTCTGACAAAGTTCCCAGTGTGCAAAGTCCTCAGTGACTGTTGGCTATCTCTGTGTCTTTAAGGCAGCAGTCCTGTGATCATGATAGCTAGTGTTCCTGGAAGGCTTGCTGTGTGGTAGGTAGGTCCTGGGTAGGCCCTTGACAGTTAATGCATTTAACCCTTTGAGCAAACTGTATGAGGAGTTGTTTGTTAATACAGAGGTTAATAGTTAGAACTAAGGGAATAAAAGCAGGATTCCTGATGAGGACAGTAAGCACATCAGATTGGTGGATGGCAGAAAACCATGTGGATTATAGAATTTGAGTGCATGTGGCCGCTACAGGCAGACAGTGGTAAAGGCCCCATTTTAAGATAAGCCATTTTGGTATTGCAGACTGTTGTAGGGTACATAGGTTTTATTCAGTTAGATAACATAAAAGGGCTCTTGTCTTACATGCAGATATACACATAAAATAGATTGAGCTTTTTATTTTTGCAATAAATTCTGATATTGAAGCAAACTCATTAGTCATGAATCAGATCATTTTGGGGGAGGACTACACTTCTACTGTGTCTCTTTGTGTATTCATGCAGGATGGTTCAAAAAAGAAAAAGAAGTCAAAGGATGTGACTGAGAAAGAGAAGGTAACTATTTTTACACTGCCTTTAGATAGCCTGTCACACAGCACTGAAGAAGAAGTTAACACTGATGTGTATCATACCAATGAGTTTCATATTAATGCAGTGGGTTTTTTTTTTTAATATGAATTCATTTATTTATGAGATGGGGACTCACTGTGTTGCCTAGGCTGGCTTCAGATTCGTGGGATCTTCCTGAGCAGCTGGGCTGTGACCACATGGTCCCCACTGTAGCTTCTCTATTCTTAATATTAATTGGTGTATATCAGCTAATAGAAGGACAAAACCCATATGATTGTTTTAGTAGTTACCCAAAGGATGTCACTTGATTTGGTATTAGTCCTGATGTTCAAAACTATTTAAAAAATAATGGCTGTTTTCATATTTCAAAAAAGTATACATGAGCCTAAAACCAAGTAATACAAGTGAAAAGCTGAGCCAGCCACCCTCCTGGTGGCTGGAATTAGTAAATGCTTTACATTTGTTTCTGATCTTGTTTTCAAGTCACCATTCCTGCAGAGGCAGTGGTCCTGGAATGAATGTACATGCTTCTCATCCACATTTAGCAAATAAGTATGTATGTATTCATAGTAACACACAGTATCGTTTGGTTTGGTTTAGGTTTTTTAAGACGGTTTCTCTGTGTAGCTCTGGCTGTCCTGGAACTCACTCTGTAGCCCAGGCTGGCCTCGAACTCACAGAGATCCGCCTGGCTCTCAAGTGCTGGGGTTAAAGGTGTGCGCCACCACCGCCCGGCCAAGTGTCAAGTTTTGAAACCAGCTTTTTATTCAGCATTACTGTTGACATTTATCCTTGATGTTTTCAAGTTTATTTCTTTTGCTTACAATATTACATTTATTCCCTGTTGTCCTATAGAGCATCTAGATTGTTTTCATTTTTTGATAGATTTATTTATTTGTTTACTGTCTGTCTGTCTGAGTTGATGTGCACCACGTGCATGCAGGTGTGTTCATGTGGAGGCCAGCAAAGGACATATGATCTAGAACCGGAGTTACGGGTGGTGGTTGTGAGTGCTAGCAACTCAAATGAGCCCTCGCATAAGCATTCAGTGCTCTTAACCACTGGGCCCTCTCTGCAGCCACCGGTTATTTACAGTTTTCAGCAGTGCAGACTGCTGCAGTGCATATATTCATCTTTATGTGCTTAAGTGCTTTGCTTGTATGTGTGCATATGCACCATGTACATGCCTAGTGCCCAGGAGAGCCAGAAGAGGGCACCAGTTACTCCAGAACTGGAGTGACATGCAGTTGTAAGCCACCATGGAGGTCCTGGAAATGAACCGGGGTCTTCTGCAATAGCAGCAAGTTCACTTCTCTGGCTCTGTACAATGGGTATTTCTTAACTGTTTTTTTCTCCTATGAGTTATTCTTAATTTTCTAATATGCATATCTAGGACTATAATTTCTAGGTTCCCAGAATGTGGATACATTTAATTTGTCTAAAGATTTTCTCACCAAAGTGTTTACTAGTTTACATTTCTAGATGTTTACATACTGGATGTTTGCATAATTTTTAGTTCTTAAAATGTCTGCTTAAATTCCTAAGTACATTGTAAAAGCTTTAGTTTGTGTATACACACATACATATGTGCACATGATGTGGGGAATGATGGTGTGCAGCATGTGTATATGGAGATCAGAAAACAGCTTTGTGAAGTGGGTTCTCCCTTCTGCCTCTATGTGAGTCTCTGGTGTCGTTCTGCTCAGAGCTGTCTTTAAAATGTCAGCGTAGGAGTTGGAGAGTTGGCTCAGCAGTTAAGCAGGCTTGCTTCTCTTCCGTCGGACCCGAGTTCCCAGTTTGGGTCACAATACCTACATTAGGTGGCTTATAAGCACCTCTAACTCTAGCTCCAGGGGATCTGACACCCTTTTTCAGCCTCCATGGGTACCTGCACACACACATGACATACACTCTTGCGCGCGCGCGCGCGCGCACACACACACACACACACACACACACACACATATATACAAATGAAATAAATCTTTAAACTATAATACTCTAAATATACCAATGTCATTATACAGACATCATTTTAAATCATAGCAGGTAATTACCAACTGGTTTTCTTTTCTGGTGAAATCCTGAGTAGAAACAAAAGGATTAAAATACAAAAGACCTAAATCTTCCACCATCTTGGTTTCTTAGGACCTTAAAATTGTACCTGTTAATTTAAGGAAATGGAACCATATCCAAATCAGTGCTTCTCAACCTTCCTAATGCTACGACCCTTTACTCTAGTTCCTCATACTGTGGTGACCCTCAGCCATACAATTATTTTTGTTGCTACCTCATAACTATAATTTTGCTGCTGTTATGAATTGTAATGTCAATATCTGTTTTATTATGGTCTTAGGTGACCCTGTGAAAGGGTCATTTGATCCCCAAAGGGGTTGCAACGCACAGGTTAAAAACTACTGTTCTAAATGGATATGTAGTTACTTCAATTTATTAAATGAAAGTATTACTGTAGTGGAATAAAAAATTAAGTCCTGGTAAATGTCACTATGTTAGAAATTTCTAATTTAAAGCTGGATGATTTGTAGAAGAATTATTAGAATAATTATTAAATGTAACTTAGAAACTGAGGTTTTGGGCTTGTGTGATGGCTCAGCAAAAAAAAGCCCTTGGTGCAGACTTGAGAACCTGAGCTGAATCCTTGGATCCCACAAAGTTGCAGGAAAGAATAAAAAGGCTTTGTAGAGTTACCCTCACTGCCATACACGCACACATGTGCCTACATGCAGATACACACACACTACAACAAATACAAATTTTTCACTTTGAAAAAAAGCATAAGGTTTTCATGGCAGAGTATTTTTTAAATTGGCATACCTGTATTTGTTTCCATAGGACACTAAAGGACTCAGCAAAAAAAGAAAGCTGTGTGAAGATAGAGCGCTCTCCTCTGCATCGTTGTCCGGGTCGGATTATGAAGAGGTGAGGAAAGAACAGGACTCTGTTTCAGAGTCAACTTGTGATTGTATGACTGTCGTCATCGCCATGTTTCCTGTACCCTTCCGATGCCGTATTTGTAATAAGTAGCAGTGTGTAACCTGATGAAGTTGTGTTTGAACATATAAGCACTTGAGTATGAGACTGGAAGATAAAAAGTCAGTTCAGGCTGGAGTTGGGACCTCACAGGTAGCCTTCAGAACTCTCTGCCTCCAGTCATTTTCCAGAATAGTGGACAGTATTAGACAAGCTTTCAGAGAGTTACCATCTAATTGCAAGCAAACATATCTACTGTTTATGTCTGTTCCTTTAATCCTTAGTCTTTTTAGATTGTCGATGACTTTTTTATGTGTTGTGTCATGTATATAGTATGTAGTTATCTAACAGGTATACCATACAACTCAATAGTTAGGCAGTTTTTATGGTCTAGTACTGTTAATAGTTAACATTTAGCCAGTATATAATAAGGAATGCTTAATAAAATATCTTATTTGTACTTAACATTTAATATACACGGGCTTAATATACACAGGTTTTAACAACTTTCGACTTACTACACCATGCTTTAAAAGGTCAAAGGGAAGTACAGATGATGCGAGCATTGTTATTTCCAAGGATTTGAACCCGCTGCTCTAGAGAGTGCACTGTATGTGTGACCAGTGCAGAGTACTAACAGTGATTGAGCTGCAGCCGAGACTCGGGTGCTGGGCTGTGTTGTGCTAGTTATGACACCTTCTCACAGTTGGCACTCCTCGGTTTGGTGCTGAGAGACAATGCAAGGGGAGCTCTTAGAAACACTTAAAATCTTAATTTACCATTTTGTTATTGAAACTTGAGTGATATAACAGGAGTCATAAAAATGTGATTTTTACAATCAAAATGTTCTACGTGTGACTGAACATGTAAGATAAATGCACTGAGTACAAATTACGTTTGTCTTCTATTCACTCAAATTTCAACTTCGTAGGTGCAAGCAAAAAGGAAGAAAAGCGGAGAAGAGCGCGAGAGAACAGCAAGTATCTTTCGTTTTTACCGACAGCGGCAGACCAGGGTTCTTGACTGTCACGGTAGTTCAGCTGGGACCAAGTGAAGTGCTGGGGAGAGTGGTGTCCGTCACCTTTGTGACGTGATGGGGAGAAGCAAGTAGGCTTAGGAGAGGGCAGCAAGCATCCCCTGACTTCAGCATCTTACTGTTAGAAGTAGACGTTCAGAGCTGGCCAGAGTGGCGCACACCTGTAATCCTAGCACTTGGGAGGCAGAGGCAGGCGGATCTCCGAGCTCAAGGCCAGCCTGGGCTACAGAAAGAGACCCTATCAAGGAAAAAAAAATACACAAGTTCAAGGGGCTGATGAAATGGCACAGTGGGTAACGGTGCTTACTGACAGACAACCTGGGTGAGCAATAGGACACAGTTACCCTCTGACCTCCATGCGCACCGTAACACACCTATCCATGCAAATAAATAAAAATAGAGTTAGAAAATCATGTGTATAATTTATATATTTAAACACACATGTGCTTCAACTTTTTTTTATTTGATTTTTGCTTGTATGAGTGTTTGCCTGAGTGTGTGTCTGTGGACCATGGAGTTCATTCAGAAAGGCACAGAACACCCTGTAACTGGAGTATTTACATGGGTGCTTGCAGCTGAGTCCAGGTCCTCTGCAGGAGTAAGAAGTGCTCTTAACCAGGCCAGGCGGTGGTGGCACACTGCTGTAATCCCAGCACTCAGGAGCCAAAGGCAGGTGGATATCTGAGTGTGACACCAGCCTGGTCTGCGTAGCAAGTCCCAGGACAGCCAGGGCTACACAGAGAACCCTTGTCTTGGGGGGGGGGGGGGCAGGGAGGGAGAGAGAGCGAGCGCTCTTAACCACTGAGCCATCTCTCCAGCTCTTACTTAACTTGAAGTGATAATTAAATACAGTGATTTCCTCAGTCTTCTAAAAGACAGTATTTACAGGCCAGCCAAACCTAAAATAATAGAAAAGGCTTCTCAAAACATTAGCAGCAGTGAGAAGCTGGAAGTGGTAACATGAATTTTTGTTTGGTTTTGGTTTTTCCAGAGTTTCTCTGTGTAGCTGTGGCTGTCCTGGAACTCACTCTGTAGACCAGGCTGGCCTCTAACTCAGAGATCTGCCTGCCTCTGCCTCCTGAGTGCTGGGATTAAAGGCATGTGCCGCCACCACCCGGCTTACCATATTCTTTTTAAAACCAGCTCGGCCATTATGCAAATTGAGAAATAGGAAAAGAGGAAGAAAATTTAAGAGAATGGGAATGTATCCAAATGAGAAGCAGGCCAAAAAAAGAAAATAGCTGATACCTTCAGAGAGTAGTACAGACCACATCTGTGAAGTAATGTCAGAGTCTTCTGTATAAGTGTGGGCCTTTGAAGGCACTTTCCTAAGGAGAGGTGAAAGAAAAAAATGAGGATATCCCCAGTTGTAGGGTTAGGGTAACCTTTTCCAAGAACTTTGTGGCTCTTAATACAAGGCCCTTCTGAAACTTGGGTTTACTTGGGTATAAGTGATTCCAAAATCACTTTTATGTGTTTTGTGACCACAGTGGCAAACATTTTTTTCTGGGTGTGAAAATAATTTAGTTGACTGTTTTAGACTGTAGTTTAGATTGATGAATTAGAGAAACATTTGACTAAGTCTAATGTGTCCTTGCGTACTGGTTTATTCTTTCTACTGGTGTGTGTTTGTTACCCAGCATCTCCACTAGGCATGGTCTAGTTCTTCGAGATGCACTAGAGTGTGAGAGAGGGAGAAGTGTCTATGTGGAGAAAGGAGTGAGCAGCTGCAGAAAGCCTCCCACGGCCTGAGGGTCTGAGTCAGTGGTCATGGGCTTGCCTTACATACACAAGGCCGAGGGTCCCACCCCAGTACCACAATAAGTAAATGTTCCAATTGAAGACTTTTGGCTTCTTTGTAAAATTATATTCAGGTACATGCTTTAAAAAGAAAAAAGCTCTGGGGATCCCGGATGTGCCTTGGTGATAGAGTGCTTGCTACCTATGCACAAAACTGCTCCTCTGTCTTCAGCAGCATCCCCAGGAAGGCAGGCAGGCTGCAAGGTTCTTCTGTAGCAGTAGCAGAGGAGAGGGGGCTCTGCCTGCCTGGCCTGGGTACCACTTCTTCCTCCCGAATAGCTGCACGAGTAACCTGGGATTTCTGCCTTTTCTTCTGTAGCAGAAGCACTCAGGAGTTAGAGATCGGCAAAACTCCAGCACCCTTTATCCACTACAAAGTTCACTCCTTTTCCAGGGCAGAGATTTCCCTGTAAAAATGACATTTGGTTGGATGTGGTGGTTTGTGCCTGTAATCCTAGCATCAGGAGTTCAAGGTTCAAAGCCAGCCTAGGCTATATGAAATACTGTCTCAAAAAAAAAAAAAAAAAAAAAAAGAATAGTAAGCATATGTTTTATTAAATAAAATACACTTCTAAGGATATGTCAGTATTTTGTGTTAGAGTTGGTATTAGCAGCTAAGTAGTGCTGCAGTCTGAACAGTACACAGTTTATGTTCCAACTTAGAAATATTAGGTTACGTACTTGGACACACTAAAGCAGTTGGGGCTTGCTGTCTGTGAGAGTCCTGTGTTGGAACTGTAGTGCCTTTTCCTTTGGAAGTTGTGTATAACATGCGATGTAGCAATTGATAGCATGATTCAGGTGAGTCTTCTAGAGAAGTTTCTGTTGGAAACTGCTGATGTGCCTGTCTTGGAGACTCAGCAAGCACTCCTGGACTCCACAGTTGTGGTTGTTGGGGCTTGTCTAGAACGTCCGAACTAGTTGGCTTGCTTCTCTGGTTGTTTATGTGGCAGCGTGGGTGTAGCAGTGCCGATGTTCCTCACTGGCGTGTTTTCAGTAGGCACAGTAGTGATGCCTGCCATGGGATATCTTTACAGGACAAAGCCAAGAAGAGACGGAAGCACAAGAAGCACAGCAAGAAGAAGAAAAAGAAGGCTGCGGGTTCGAGTTCAGACTCAGCGTAGCCTCGGGAAGGAAGACCAGGGTCCCTTACAGAGTGCAATGTCGAAGGAGCTCTCAACTGTGAAGATTCTGACTACGTAGTGACGTGCATGAATTCCCTTGTGTTTAGACTTTCCTGGACTAGTCAGTAGCCACTTGGATACCGCTGTGTGAAGGGCCATGATTGTTGCCTGCTGCCTGAACACCTTTTCCTCTTCCAGTGCTTGGTGACTCTGGAGGACAGTGCTTTGCAGTCATACTAGTGGTTAAGATATTTGGGATAAAGCTAATATTTTTTACTAGACGTACTTAAGGATAAATCAACAGAAACGGAATCTGGATCCATCTTTAAGATGTAACCAGAAATAATGAGATGACTCTAGTAAAAATTTTCATAGTAGGGATTACATTAATATTTCAAAATCCTTACTCTGTAGATAAGTATTTTAGTTTTTCCCCACGTATATTTTGATTTACTTGGGGAAGGAGCTTTTAAAGAGGGGGGTGGTTTGCTATCTCTTTAGCTACCAGAACAGCGTGCCTTTGATCTCACACTACTTTTGTGGACACAGTAGCCATGCTTCCTGGGAGGTCAGAGCTGGGCGCCATCAGTCCCGCCTTGACTAAGGCTGATGACATCCACAGACTTCTTCGTATGCTGCTTTGAATGCACCAGAGATACCCAGCACTTTGCAGCATGAGAAAGCCCCCAAAGCTCTGGAATTTACCTCCACTTGAGTCATAACTGAATGTTTCTTAGGGTTAGACGGTGTTATGTCATTTTAATTGAATTTACCTACACTTTGGAGAGGAGTTGTTTAGCAGACACTGGTACTTTCTGAACTGATAGCTAACAATTCTAAAGTGCATGTTTTATACAGGTTTTAACCAGTCAGAAGGTTTCTATGTAGCCAGTGATAGCTCCTTTATGTTTTGTATAGATTTTGTTTAGGCTGCAGTGTTTAGCTTTTAACTCCATACTCTTGCTGTCTTAAGTTCATTACTATGTTTAATGGCACACTTACAAGATATTTAGCATGTAAAAAGCAGGACTTTTGGTTTTCATTTTTAACGGCTTCATATTGAAGCTGAGTCTTACCACAAACAAGTTGAGTGGCGGGCCTGGTATGCTGTATCTTGTTACATAAAGCTATGCCAGAATCTTAGTAAATAGAATGTTCTAAAAGTTTGTTGTCTTTGTATATTCATAACAGATTATGACATGTTAACTTACCTGAGAACTACATTACTGCTCTTCCTGTGTCATGTTTTTCTGAGATATTTGTGCCTCATATCTCTTGAGTTATTAGGAATGTTAAAAAGAATTGATAAGTCATTTTCATTTTACACTTTTATATAATCAGGTAATATGAAATATAACGATGTACAATTTTGCCTGTTTCAGAGGGTGTGCTAATTATAGTGAAATATGCACAGAACATTTTGGCATGACAAGAGGCTGAATAAATAGCTATTTTACTTAAAATAGCTGTGCTCTTATCTCCCTTTGGGTCACAGTAGTTATACAAGTTAATGGTAAATATGCCCTGGGGTTTTAGTGATAAAAAGAATGTGTGTCTTAGGAAGTTCCTCAAATTTTTCTGCTTTAGGATGCATATATAAGGATATATACAATATCTCCCCCCCCCCGCCCCCCAAAAAAATTTTTTTTCCAAGATTGATGTCCAAGCCTATTTGGACAGTTGTCGGCCACTTTCCCGAGTGTACGGGGCGGTTTAAGGCCTGGTCCAGATGGGACAGCTACGTCCTGCAGGAAGCGGCCGTTTGTTAGACTGGAGAAGGTGGGCAGTGGGTGATTTAGAAGAATGTTGAGTCTTTTTCAGACTCTGTTGTCCAGGACTCACCTTGGTGTTGGTGACTCTACAGTCTCCCTACTAGATGTATAAAAAGGATGTTTATGGGGTGCTGCCCCTTACATTAATTCCATGGTTTTGATAATGTATAAGTTAGTAACATCCCTTCCTTCTTCCACCAGAACTGCCCTTTTTCTTTCTCGGGTGTCTTTACACGAGTTTTACAAACACGGCATGCCTCTTACAACGGCACTGTGGTAACTGCCAGAAAGTGACGACCGTCTGTAGAAATGTTGTCCTGATACCAGCCTTGGCCTTCTTGGTCACTTCGGAGTCCTTTGGTTGCCCTCGGGTGTTCTAAGTACCCTAAGAGTGTCCAGATTTAATTTTGTCCAAAATAGAGATTTGTACCTTTCAAAAGTCAAGCTGTGCTGAGCCCTGTCCCTTGCTTCCTTGTCATTTCAGACAGTAGTTGCCTCAGGGAAGACAAAGGGAGTTGCTGTCTTCAGACTTAGCTGGGAGCTTGCACACCAGAAATTTGCCACATTGCAACTCGAAACCACTGGCATTCTTCAGTGTATTTGTAAGGGGGCGGTGAAAAAAATCTTTTCTCCCTCAGTTGTATCTGCGTTGTTATAGAAGTTGTTTTATATTTTATTAAAAACTTAGAGGGACTAGGGTATGTGTGCATGTATCTCAAGGTGGCGCATGAAGGCTTGGGTTTAATCCTCAGGACCCCCCAAAAAATCTTGTGTTCTAAATCATAAACATGGTTTGGGTATGGCCTCACCTGTTTACTTTCCCCTGTGTGAAAATCCGCACCTAGACTAGAAGCCAGGTCCTCTGTCTCACAACCAAGATGCAATAGGACAGTGGACATTTTAGCCAGCTTAGCACAGCTACACCATGTTTTCTCACCGGCAGGTCTCAACTGGGAGCAAGAAAGTGGGTTTTCCATCTAAGAAGCTCATGTATGTGAGGCTGTGTGGGTCTCGTGGGAAGGTGCTTGGTGACTTTTCGGTAGGTGGCAGCCTTTGAGGGAGCTATTTATAGCTTGGGAAATTACTGCAGTCTAAAGGAAGACTTTGTCATCTTTTTTTAGTTACATGTTCAAATAGAAAAGTGCTTTTAATTTGCACTGAGGAACTATAAATGAAATACCATTTTACACGTTGTTAAATATTGAAATGGCTGCAGGTTTGTTTCAGATATACACAACCTCTACAGCTTCCCTGAATATGTACTGAACGGCAGCGTCCACTTGTTTATCTTCCCAGCTGCTTGAGAACATTCCGTCTGGTTGCTAGGAAGTTGCCATGGCCACATTCTGTTTTGGAGTTACAGAGTGAGTGCCAGCTCGGGACACAAGCTTGGAAGTAGATTCTTTGGGAAAGCAGTGTGCTAAAACCACTCTCAGATGGAACAGAGGGCTCTGAAGAAACTGGTGGAGTCCATCAGTAAAACTGTCAAGAGCTGTGAGTACTGAGGTCTCCACCACCTCCACGCAGTCAGACTGGTGTTGGTTGGTGAGTTGGGTGGAGACTGCACACCACTGAGTGCTCTGTAACCATACACTACGAATCCAGTTCTAATATGTTTGGTTACTTAAATAAGAGCTGCACATGCTGGCACATAGCTTTGATCTCAGCACTCAGGAGGCAGAAAGAAAGCATGGTCTACATAAGAGTTCCAGGCCAGCCAGGGCTACATGTTGAGAGCCTATCTCAAAAAGGGTGGGGGAGTTGTAGTCAGGGGCCAAAGAGAAAGTACTGCCACCCAAGGTAGATACCCGAGTTCAGTCCCCAGGGCCCCGAGAACGGAACAGAGCTAGAACAGCTGCCCTAGACCTGCATTCCACACATGATAGATTACAAGCAGATGAGCAGGTGAGCCCTTACCATGCACTTAGAAACAGTGAAGCCATCGGGTGTCCTGACACATCTGGGCATGTTGGGAGAGTGTCTTGAGAAAGTCATAAATGCAGAAGAATAATCTGCTAACCAAGCATAGATTTTATTCTGTTGACAATAAGAATTTTTAATTACAAGCATTTACTTTGACCAGTTTCAGTGGTTTCTGGCACAAAACTTAGGGACTAATAGAAATACATCAGATGATTTTAGGCAGTGAGATGGGTTAAAGCATTGGCCATGCAAGCCTGAGGCCTGAGTTTGAGTCCTGGAAACCATGGTGGAAAGAGAACCAGTTCCCAAAAGTTCTCTGACCTCCCCACATGGATGTACACATACACAGTTATAAATAAAGATCGCATATCATAACAAAATTTTGAGGGTGGGAGGGCAAGATGGCCCAATGGGTAAAGGAACTTGATGCTGGGAGATAACATGCCAGACTACCTGAGTTTGGTTGCCAAAAGCCATGTAAGGTGGGAGGGGAAAACTTACTCCACAAAGTTGTCCTGACCTCCTCTCGCACATTGTGGCATGTTTTTGTACCCACATACATGTCACCCCAAAAACCTTTTTAAATATAATTTTAGCCAGGCATATTGGTGAGCACCTTTAATCCCAGCACTCCAGAGGCAGAGGCAGGTAGGTCTCTGAGCTCGAAGCCAGTCTGATCTACATAGAGAATTTCAGGCTAGCTGGAGCTACATAGTGAGACCCTGTCTCCCAAACAGCAGCCAGAGCAACAAAGTAATGGTGGGGTGCTTCCCGTGTTACAGTGTTTGCCTGGAAACAATTTAACAGGTTGACCTTGCCCTGGAAACCGTGATGCACTCCTGAGGGTTTGCTTCCCAGACATAACTACAAATAATCCTGACCAGTGGTCATTTTCAGTCATTCAGGCATTGGCGTTAATTTAACTTCAGCCAGTTAAATCGCTTGCATCTTCCTTGGGACAGGTGGATGGACATGGTGTGAAGGTTTTTGTAAGCTTGGCTTAGCTTCCCCTAGCTATAGGCCCACGCTGGCCTATAAAATATCCAAGTCCCTCAAGCACTTCTCCAGGTCTCCTTTAATTCCTAAACAATCCTTTAAAGTTTTATTAATTTAGCCAATAATGAGCACAGTAAATACTGATTATTGCTTGCTTATATGTGTGCACATGGCACACTGGGAGGCCAGCTCCCACTTTTAAAGGTTTCCTGTGAGGAGGAGAGAGGGATAAGGAAATACTAGGTAGGGCCAGGCGGTGATGGCACACGTCTTTAATCCCAGCTCTCGGGAGACAGATACAGGTGGATCTCTGTGAGTTCAAGGCCAGCCTGGGCTACAGAGTGAGTTCCAGGAAAGGTGCCAAAACTATACAGAGAAACCCTTGTCTTGAAAAACCAAAAAATTAAAGAAAAAAGAAGAAAAGACTAGATAGCAGAGATGAGAAAGACAGGAACACAGGATAGCTTCAGGAGGACCTTGGTCAATTCCCAACGGCCCCTTCTGCCTCTTCAAAAGGGCTTTTTATAACATGCCAAGGGGCAGGGCAAAAGACCCCCCTTGCTAGATCAAAGCACACCACACAGCCAAGTGTAGACCCTTCCAAGCACCTGGTAACCATGCCATAGTCAATTCATCCCCTTATGCAGCCCTGCTGGGTAAAGCAAGCTCAGATTCGTGGACCCTGAGTAAGTTCTCACTAGGAAACCTCTGTGGGTCTCCACAGCACACACACGCATTCACATACATGCAGGAGGTGTATGCTTGTGTGTGAGGGGGCAGAGGTTGATGAATGCTGGTGTCATGATTAATCTTTTGTTTCCGAGGGTCTGTTTGTTTTTTAAGATAATCTTAACTAATCCTGGGGCTCACCAGTTTGACGAGACCTCTTGTCTGCTTCTCCATGCTGGGGGACAGTCACTGCTGCACCAGCTCTTTCCAGGGATGCTAGGGATCCAAACTCAGGTCCTGCTCGGCAACTGTTTTACCAACTGAGACGTCCCCCTTAGTCCAATGACTGTGCTTTAAAGTGAGCCTATTTAATAATGCGGAAAAGGAATTTTGTATGTATTTAAAATCTAAATTCCTCATCCTAATGAATTATTTTAGATATGTCTGCTACCCATGTGTTTAATACCACGGTGACTTGAAAGCAGTTACACAGATAAAAATTTGTAATAATCAGCAAAGATAGTTTGAAAAGAGAAACAAATTGCTGCATTTCTTCATTTTTCAAAATTTTGACATTGATTTTTCAATGGTTAAGCATAGCTGTGCCTTCAAGGCCCTACCCTGATCTAACTAGTTGCCTCTTCTACACTTGGGTTATAAACGAATCCAGTGAGGTGAGAGGTGCTCAGACAGAGAACCAGGCCTCAGAGTCAGCCTTCTAAAGCCGCTGGTGCCTTTAGACAGTGACAGAGTTGGTACAGGTCGGCTTCAGAGTCTGCACAAAGGATTATCATCATTCCTTGACTGCCCTGCAGGTCGTCACAGGCAGCTCTGGTGCCCTTCTGCATCATGCTCTCATAGTGAGCATGGACACTTTGGTTTGCCGTAGGCTTCTTAGGAAAACTTGGGTTTTTATTTTTCATTGTGTACAACACTCTAGGCCCTTATGACAGAAGTTTCTTGGGCTTTCTTGGTTGAGTCCAGTGGCTCTCAACCTCCCTAATGCAACGACACTTTAATACAGTTCCTCATGTGGTGACTGCCAACCATGAAATTACTTTTGTTGCTATTTCATAACGAATTTTGCTACTGTTATGAATCGTGATGTAAATAGTTTTGGAGATAGAGGTTTGCTGAAGAGGTCACAGGTTGAGAACCACTGGTTTAGAACTTCTTAGAGGGAGCCTTTAGAGTTTATGACGTCATGACTAAAGACCTCTTATGGTCAGCAGCCACCACCAAGTGACTCTCAGACCCTCATAAAGCTAGTGACCTCACAAAGGAAATTCTTTACAATATAATCATTGCCATATTTTTTTTTTTTTAAAATTTTCCGGAGCTGAGGACCAAACCCAGGGCCTTGCGCTTGCTAGGCAAGCGCTCTACCACTGAGCTAAATCCCAACCCCCCTCTTGCTATATTTTTTAGATCAATCTAGAAAGCTTTGTTTTCTACACTGAGTATAAATTGTCTATTAATTTTGAACTACTTTCTAGAGTTGCATTGTCCAAAAAGATAGGCACTAGCTATGTATGACCATCTATAGATGATTATATTTAAAATCCTATTTTCTTCATCGCACTAGCCACTTTTCAGGAGTCAATGTCTGCCTATGCATGATGGCTCCCAAATTGAACAGCACAGAGGACCTGTTGGAAGGTCTGGTGTGTATTGCACCACCAAAGACACAATTCTAATCCCTTTTCTAAATCATTGTCTTATTCTAGGCACGGAGGCAGGGAATTACCTTTGAATACTGGCTTCATGGCTGTGCAAACTACATTCTCATAGAATTAACACATTGAATATTAATCTCATAACAGATCAACATCCTGTTGTCACTAAATTTGTGAAAAGGTGACTACATCGTGGTACACTGGGCTCAGTCTGTCGTAGACTGCCTGTGTGTCTCTTACTTGAAGTATGGCAGGAGATGGCAGAGTGGCGATAAAGTTTCCTAGGGTGCCTGCTCCATGTTGGCATGGCCCTGGGTTCAATCCCTAGCACCCCAAAGCTGGAAGTGGTCGCTCACACCTGTATTCCTAACACTTAAGGGGGTAGAGACAGGAGGGTCAGAAATTCAAGGTCATCCCCGTTGGTGATAGGAAGTTCATGGCATGTCTGAGCTACAAGAGATAAAAATTAAAATTTGAAAATAGAAAGATCTACACTATCAGAGATGTACTGCCACCTAGATGTAGTAGGTCTTTAGAGGAGGGACTGAATTCAAACTTTTAACTCCAATCTTACTTAGGTCAGGGCCTCGCTGGTGAGATGGGACTGCCCACATTTAGTGTGGTTCTTCCTGCCTCAGTTAACCCAATCCAGAAATTTCATTTATGTACTAGGTGATCTACATCCTACCACATTGACATGTAACTTTTTGGGGGAGACACATACAGTATAGACAGCGTATACACAACAGACCAAAGAAACAATTCTACCCAAGGCTAGCTTGTGAGCTAGTGAATTTATTTACAGGAATATGGGGGAGGGATCTTACAGGAACATTGGTGACTCAAAGGCCTCTATCTCACCAAAAAGCCCACCCTAGTATGGGAGTATGGGTAATGACTGAAGAAACCTACGCCCCCTAGTGCTTCTCCCAGAAGCCTTGTTATCTAACACAAATCTCAATGCAGGCGTGGGATGTTTCCCTGAGTTGTTGGTTAGAGAGGCCCCAGAACTACATGCCACTGTCATTGTCCTTATCTTCCTGCCAGCACCTCTTAAGACTGTTGCTGAAGATGCAGCACACTTTGGTCACAGGACTCGGAGACATCAGCTGCAATGGCTGGGTGCTTCCTTCCTGCCAGCTGGCTTTTACAGCGCCTTCTGGGGGAGGAAACTAACGGCTTACCTAGCCGCGAACACTAAGCTGCAGTAACAGCGACAAGATGCGTCCTCTGGTGCAGTGGGGGCAGGGATGTTTGGGGATGTTTGCCATTTCCTGCTCTAGAGGACCAAGAGCTGTGGCAGGGAGATCATGGCAGCGAAGGGGGACCCACTGCTGTCGTTTTGCTGAGTGGACATGCTCAACCCGCTTTCTAAACACTCAGGTGTGCACAGAATTGGTGCAGCTCTTGGTCTTCCTCGAGAAAGCTGTACTGCAATAGGCAGCAGCTAACAGAGAGATTGCTGGCGGGCCCAAGAGCTGAAATAAAGGCTGGTGGCCTGCTTGGCCCCAAATGGCTGATTTATGCACCCCAGTCTAGGAACGTTGCAGAAGAGGGGAGACAGAAGGAGTAAAGACCTGGAGGATGGGGAGATGTGCTAGGAAAGGATGTCTTTCTTGACGTGACTCTGCTGTTGCACTATTGAATCACTACACAAGACAAGCCTGAGCCCTGTCAATGTTTCTTCATGGAAAGGGGAAGGCTCATGAACCCCCCCCCCCCCCCCCCCCCCCCCCCGCAGGGACTACTGGCAGTTAATGGTGGCTGGGGGAAGGGATGTCACTTTCTCAGTGGCAGAGCCACTGGGAAGTTTGCCCAGGCTCTCTGGAGGTAAACAACCTCCACACACGGCCACGCAAGTCAACGCAAGTCACCTAATTAAACTCGGTGGGGCGCACACAGGGAAAATACAGTGGGAAGAGGCCTTGGGGGAGTTTTCAATGGGGGGATGAGAGGAATAGAAGGTGAAGACTAAAATTCGTCATGCACACGCATGAAACTGTCAACGAAGTTAAGAAAACGTTGCATCCCTGGGGCACAGCTTGCAGGCAGCTCAGTCAGGGGCCCCTTCCCAGCACTTGTTACCACTTCCAGAACCCGGAAGAGCTTTAAAAGCCCAAGTTTCAGGAGCTTCCTCAGACTTCAACTTCCTGAACCTTGCCAGTTTCCTTTCCTTTGTTGGTTTGGATGAACCTCCCTCCAGGATGGAGAGGTTTGAGTCGGGAAATGGCAACATTACACTTGGTATTGTCCTTCAACCATAGGGCCTCGTTTTCACTGTGTGCTGTTAGCGGAAACGGTCACAAAAATCTCACTGCATCGTTTTGTTTGTCTGAAACAGGGTGTTATTGTGTAGCTGTAGCAGGCCTGGAAATCACTGTGTAGCCCAGGCTGGCCTTGAATTAGAGATCCACCTGCCTCTCTCCAGAGTGGTGGGACAAAGGGCGTGTGCCACCACCACACCAGTCAAATGACACCAGCTTTAAAGGGAGGCTACTTAGATCTCATTTCTCTACTGAAAATCAAAGTCACATCGATAGAGGCAATAGCGCATGCCTGTAACACCAGGGCTTGGGAAACAGGCAGCAGATCAAGAGTTTCAGGCTAGCCTGGGTTGCGTTGTGAGACCTTGTCTCAATATAAGTAAATCAATAAATTAATTAATTAAAAAAGATGGACAGATTGTTATGATCATGTAGCAAAATACAAATTGCTGATTTTCCATTAAAAAATAACTGCACGAATGTATTGTGAAAGTGGGTAAAAACTTAAATACGGGTCTGGTTATCAGCCAGAATTGTTTGGTAAGTTTTGTATTGTCCGTAAGATCTGCCAGCATGTGAGGTCCGTGATGCGTGCTCCCACCAGGGACCATGTGGTGTCTGCAGTCCATGTTGCAGCTGGAGGCTGTGTTCATGTCTGTAGTCCTTGCCGCCACCGGGCACCATGTTGAGGTCTTTGGTCTGTGCTGCCTGAACCCGTGTCTATAGTCCATGCTGTCCCCAGAAACCATGTGGAAGTCCATGATCCAGGCTGCTGCCGGCTCCTATGGGCAAGGAAGCATTTTGCAATGGTATTGACTGATTACTGCAGACTCACAGTTGAGAATGAGAGACAGTGGAGGGTTCTGTGAACCTCCCCCTCCAAAAAGCAAACCATCTAGACAAGAAGCCATTGATGAAGAGAACCCTTAAAAATTATGACAGGGATGCTGAAGTGTAACTCTTCACAGTTGATGGCTTCTGGTGGGGGTGGGGTGGGAAAGGACCCAGCTTTCTTTAAGGGGCTGGCCACTGGGAGTTTGACCATGCCCCAGTGAGTATACTGGACTTGGTTATTATTTTTTTCTTCTTTTGGGGGGCGGATAATGGTGGGAGGTGGACTTGGAAGGACTGGGAAGCAAGTGTGATGCGGTGCATTGTGTGAAATTTCCAAATAATCAATAAAAGTATGTCAGAAAAAATAAAAATTTCTGATTCAAAAATAAATCTGCCAACATGCCCCATGGACCTCTCTTTGCTCTCAGAACTCAAACCCGAGTCTTCCAGCTGCCTCCGGGTGAGTGCCTGCTCCTTTGGGCGACTCCACTCCAGTGACACCCCCACTTGTAATGTTTTATCGCGCAGCACCTTCCCTAGCTCACAGCCCCTTCCTTGGGTTTGTGATGTACGATACTTTCATGTACTAACACTTCACAGCTGGGTTAGGGGGAGCTGGTGACCACGCATGCTAGGCAAGCCTTCCTCCACGGAGCCATACCACAGCCCCTCGTGTATCTCCTGGCAAGCCTGCAACAGCCTTGAGGGCGGGAGCCAAGTCCGTGTCCGCTCCCTGGTTCCGGGTGTCCCGTAAGACGTAGACAGATCCGACTTCAGAGCTGCACTGCCATAGCACGACATTCTATGAAGGAGCAAGAGATCTTAACTTGGTCTACAAAATACATGTTATTAGGCACCTTTGAAATTGCTTACTCTCAAGACTACCGGTCACTACCCTAAGAACTACCGCCTTCTACACACAGACCCCACATGTTGTAAATTGGGTATTTACAAAGACAGTTATTTCTCCTCACCTTCCTTCACAAACAAGAGGAAAGGATCAAGAAAAAAAAAAAAAAAAAAAAAAAACGACGTGGCGACCAGCTGCCTCTCCCCATTTCTGTTCTCTCAAGTAGCTGTTGAGTCACAGAATTCGACATTCAAGGGACTGCAGAATCTGAGATCACCCCAACAACTCAGCTGTTACTAGAGAGGGCCCCGAGGAGTTGTTAAGTCTTAGGAGTTTAGGATAAGAAATAGAAACGGGGGCTAGAGAGACGTTTCCATGTTTGAGAGCACTTGGGGCTCTTGCAGAAGGCCCAGGCTCGGTTCTCAGGGGGGCTCACAACCAGCTACAACTCCAGCACCCCAGAATCCGATGCCCTGTTCTAGCCTCAAGGGTACTGCACACGTGGTACAAATATACGTGTCAGGAAGACACGTAATGTATGTATACATAAAACCAAAATAAATAAATCTCAGTAAAGAAATGGAAACAGTCTAGGTGCTTTAGGTCTTATGCCCACCCCCAGGGCGAATGCCGGGTTTCCGTCCTGACCACACCAGTCACCTGTGCATGCCTAAACACTAAGTCTGGAACGAGAGCCCCATGTGTGACTACCCCAAATTTCCATTGTGAAGCCTGCAGATCTGGTAGAAGCAAAACACTACAAATTACTCAGTAACAAATTCACATCAATATATGGCCATCTGGTATCATAAGAACTAAACAGCTGTGATTGTATTGAATAACTTGGTGATTAATGCTACATCTTATCTATCTTCTCATTTTACAGTCAAGAAAAGTGAAATTGAATGTCTCATACGCCTTTTCTATAGCTTTGTGGAAAAACCCAGTGGAAAGCTTGTTAATGCCAGGCTGGACTGCAACACATTTCGAGGGATCCTGCACAACGTATTCGGAATGACCGATGACATGTTAATGAACAGGGGTAAGGAGTCACAGTAAACCGAAATGTGCCAACCCAAAACTGAACCCATCTGAGTGTCCTTTTCACAAGACTGGACTTTGTCTCAGTGCCAAACTAGAAAGGAATAGTTCTGGTAGGAAAGTGCTGCAAACACATACCCAGAGGGAACACGAGGATGGTTTTTAACACAAACTCGTCAGAATGTTGTGCCTCAGAGCAGGGAAGTTTTGAGAAATCATTACCACTGAACTACAGAGCCTAGCGGTATTTTTCTTTCTTTTTTTTTTTTTTTTTTTTTTTTTTTTTTTTTTTTTTTTTTTTTTTTTGGTTT